TAACCATTGTTTAGAACTAGTTATACAGTATGTACAGTAATACCTCACGATACGAGCATAATCCATTCCAGGACTGGGCTCGTAACTCCAGGTGCTTGTATCTCAAATAATTGTTCCCATAAGGAATAACAGAAAAATAATCAGTTCTGGCCTTCTAAAAACTCCCTTATTAGTGCTAATAACAATGGGAAAAAACTACTATGTGAGTAATCTAAAAAATGATAGTATATAAGGAATCCTGTGATATAAAATAAAATGTGGTTTTAATTATGAGTTCTTACTTTCGAGAGAATATACAATATACAATAGATACAATAGTGGTTAATAGCTGCATGTGCGGAGGAGGAGGATGGACGGAGGAAGGGAGGGAGGGAGGGAGGGAGGGAACAGAGTTGGCCCGTACGTAGACACTTGATTCTGTAGCGTACCTTACATGTGCAAAACATAGTTTTTTTTTCTTTTTTTCTTTTTTTGATTTGGATTCGTTCTTTAGCAGGTACTACGCTCATATTTATTGACAATTTCATCCTTCATTTTCATGGTCATCATGTGTTTCCTTACCCCTCACTTTCTTAGGACTCATCACTATTATGAAGAATAATGCACACAATATCACAAAATCACGTAGCTAACACAAACACAATACGAAAGACTCGTGGGTGATGCGTACGGAAGTTGACAAACTTCTTGAAGTTTTAAATATTTTTAAATATTGTTTTAATCACAGGTTGTTATTTTGGTGATTCTTTTTTTCAGAAATTGACAGTTTTTTTCCCGTTTGTGAGCTTTAACTTTACTATTATATCTTCTAATTTGAGACGTTTTATTTTTATATTCTGCAAACTAAACAAACTAAATTTAAATTTATTTGCTCTAATTCTTTTATTCCTCAGAAATATGCTGTTAAACCTCAACTGCCCTGACTCACAATTGAGAAGAAATGTGAGCGAACAGGGGCAGATCACATGTCAACCACACATTACAAAGTCAAGCAGGACTTCTCTTCTCATGTTCTCAAACATCTTTGTTGACTTGGGTACTAATCTTTTAACCTGGTCTTTTCACTATTGTCTAACAGACATTACACAAACAGTAGGCTTCATCTCTTAATATCAATGCACAATCTTCCCTCTCTAGCATTAGAGATATGTCACTTAATTACACATTTTATTGTGTGGGAGGAAAAACAAAGAGAAAAAACAGGTTGTTTGTAAGGATTGCTGTTGCTTTTTTTTCTTTGGGTATTACTCCTAATTAAATAAAACCCATTATAGACTAGTAGGGGCAAAATACGGGGTAGTCTGGGCCTAAATGGAATCCGTATTCTATATTTAAAAATATATTATTTTTAAATTATTTTCTTATCTTAAACTATTTATTTAAACTAAATGTTCCAAAAAATGTTCCTAAATGTTCCTGTCCCAAAAAAAGGGTAATAAATAGGGATATCTGATATTAGGTTGTTGATATACCATATGTTTATACTATTATATAGTCGAGATACTTAATTTCCAAGTCCAATATCAACCAATACCGATATAGGCTTGGTAATTTATTTCTTTATCTGTAGAAAACACTGTAGTGTCGCTGTCACCAGCATTCTACATACAATCCCTTGATTATTAAAATTGTTTAATAAATTGAGTTGCAATGTTGCCATCTATTGACTTTACCTTTAATATATAGCCATTTATCTCCAACAACTATCCTTACAGATATTACATCCATCCATCCATTATCAACCGCTTATCCGGGGCCAGGTCGCGAGGCAACAGTCTGTGCAGGGACACCCAGACTTCCCTCTCCACTGACACTTAGTAAGTCCAGCTCTTCTGGGGGGACCCCAAGGCACTTCCAGGCCAGCCAAGCGACGTAGTCACTCCAGCATGTCCTAGGTCTTCCTCTAGGTTTCCTCCAAGAGGGACAGGACCAGGATCTCCAAGGGAGCGCTCTGCCACCCTGTGGAGAAAGCTCATTTCAGCCACTTGTATCTGGGATTTCGTTGACCCAGAGCTCATGACCATAGGTGAGGGTAGGAACGTAGCTCGACCGGTAAGAGAGCTTTGCCATACGGCTCAGCTCCTTCTTCACCACAACAGACCGATACACCGACCACATTACTGCAGCCACTGCACCAATCCGCCTGTCAATCTCACGTTCCATCCTACCGTCACTCGTGAACAAGACCCCAAGATACTTAAACTCCTCCACCGGAGGCAGGATGTCCTCCCCAACCCGGAGGGTTCAAACCACCTTTTTCCGGTCAAGAACCATGGCCTCGGACTTAGAGGAGCTAATTCTCATCCCAGCGGCTTTACACTCAACTGCAAACCGCCCCAGTGCATGTTGCAGGTCCTGGCTCGAAGAAGCCAACAAGACCACATCATCCGCAAAAAGCAGAGATGAAATCCGGTGGCTCCCGAACTGGACCCCACCCGACACCTGGCTGCACCTAGAAATTCTGTCCATAAATATAATGAACAGAACCGGTGACAAAGGTCTGACTTATTGCCGGCAATGCGAACCAAGCATACCACGAGGGGACATGGTCGAAAGCCTTTTCCAAGTCCACAAAACACATGTGGGCAACCGGTTGGGCCAACTCCCATGAACCCTCAAGCACCCTGTGGAGGGTATAGAGCTGGTCCAGTGTTCCACGACCAGGACGAAAACCACATTGTTCCTCTCGAATCCGAGGTTCGACTATCAGCCGGATTCTCCTCTTCAGAACCCTGGAATAGACTTTTCCCGGGAGGTTTAGGAGTGTGATCCCTCGATAGTTGGAACACACCCTCCGGTCCCCCTTTTTGAAAAGAAGCACCACCACCCCGGTCTGCCAGTTCAGAGGTACTGTCCCGGACTGCCACGCGATGCTGCAGAGACGTGTCAACCAAGACAGCCCCACAACATCCAGAGACTTGAGGTAATCAGGGCGGATCTCATCCACCCCCGGTGCCTTTCCACCACGCAGCTTTTTGACTGCCTCGGTAACCTCAGCGCAGGAGATGTGAGGATCAGCTGCTGAGTCCTCAGCCTCAGCTCCCTCCGTGGAATGCGTGTCAGTGGGATTGAGGAGATCTTTGAAATATTCCTTACACAACATCCTCAGTCGAGGTCAACAGCTCGCTGTAAATAGCAGTGGTGGGAAACTGCTTCCTCTTCCTGGCACCGGATTATACCTAGTCGGTATCGCTCAACCTTCCGCACGAGCTCAGGCTCTTTTCCCCCCAGCGAGGTGAAATTCCATGTCCCCATAGCCAGAGTGGTTGTCCAGGGATTGGGCCGTCGGGGTCTCCGCCCACAACCGCCACCCAAATCACAAGGCACCGGCTTCCTGCGAGTGGTGGGCCCACTGGAAAGCGGGCTCACGTCGCTTGTTTGGGCTGAGCCCGGCCAGGTCCCGTGAGCAAGGACCCGGCCACCCGCCCCCTCATCGGGAGGGGAGTGGGGGTGGGTGGGGGGGGTTGAACCCCTATTTGTCTGATCCGTCGCCTTGCCTTGGGAGACCCTACCAGGCGCATTAAGCCCCCGACAACATAGCTAGGTCCTAGGTTCAGATATTACATAATTATGCTATATCGGCTGGTAATATGGGTCGATCCATGTTGTCGGACATCCCTAATCAAGACCTATATTTGTATATATTGTTGTACATGATTTAATTTTTTTTTTCTAGTTTTAATAATAACATAGCTTATAAAACCAAAATATAATTCCCACAGTTTGCAGTATTTCATAATTTCAGCCAGACCACCAAGGAAGATGGGACGAGATGTCCGATATTAGCTTTTTGTCGATCATGAATATGACCGTTGAATATGTCGAATATGACATTGTCATAACACTGAATTTCCGATTCTCATATCAACCCATACCGATAGCTTTATTGCTTTTTCATTATTGGAGGAAAATCCATTAACGATTCTTTCTGATATTACCTAATTAAGATAATATCGTTTGGCCGATATTATTGAACATCACTAGTAATAAATGTATTAACACATTTAGATATATTCACACATACATATTCTGCAAAATTGCTTTGCTTTTTGTATAAGGTTACTTAGATAATTTTGAAAATGCATTTATTCTGGCCCATATTATCTCCATTAAACTAATCCGGCCCCCAGAGTATTGTTGGAGTGACGTGCTTCTTTAACATTGTCTTCTTTATGTTGTCGGCTCTTCTCCCGGTCCTTTTTCATATCTAAATCATTCAATCTCTTTCATTGTATCACCTTCCCACCGTACATTGTTAATGGGAACACAATTATGCTCTTTCTGATGCCTGCTCTTGTCATTTGATCACATCGGTATCAGCTTTTTTCTTCTTGAATTCAGCCCTAAAGTCCCTATCGGATCGTTTATCAATTGTTTGCTTCTTCACACAGAGAAGAATACAAACACCATTTGTTACCACTTAAAAACCCAAACTGGGAATTTACCATTCAATCACAGTTGTTTTTAAGAAAAAGGTTTTCCACATTGATTTTACATTAGAGAGTGCACTACATCGTGTGAGAATGCATTTATTGAGAGAGTTTAAAGAAGACAACTTAGCAAAGAAAAAGTGAATAATATCATGTCGTAGTTGTCTTTATTAAAATAAGGAGTTCCTGTTTATCACAGCTTAATAGTTGTGATTGGCACAGGAACAGGAGCTCCTCATGTCTAATCCTAACAACAAAAGGCAGTACCTCTTCTCCCATTATAAAAAGGAGAGAACACAAAAGGCCAAATGAAATTTAAGTTTATTGAAAACTTCGACCAACTCAGGTGAGGTTTCCTCTGAATCCATTCTTCAAAGATACAAAGATGAGTAGAAGTTTTAACTTCCTGTACAACTGCCACACAGGAAAGACCTTTTTTTTGTTGTTAAAAATATTCACACACCCAAATGTCCCCTGGTGTTTGTTTATATTTTAAAATCGTCTTTACAAATCCAGGCAATCAACCTGTATTTTTACCGCTTATGTAAAAAAAAAAAAAAAAAAGTAATATTAAAAGTTTGAAAGACAACAAATTATCACAGACTAATAATAAATAACACAGTTTCTTTTTATATAAATAAATATATATCAATAAGTTAAGACATTGAACATTTTATAAATATTTTGTTTGTGTCCTGGTAACATACTGTATGTGCATGTGCCTGTATGTGTATGAGTCTGCTGAATAACTCACTGAGTTTTCAAGGATCGTTGGTTTTGGACTTTTAATTAGGATAAAGGATAACGGCTTTCAATGAAGAAATTGCAGAAACTGTAACTGGGTTTAAGAGGCAGAGAAAGTGGCTAAATTCAAGTCGTAGCTTTCTGGAACTAAGGTGATGGTATCTTTTCTTCTTTTTTTGAAAAAAAAAATTTACTGATGAACTGTGGTTGTACATGGTTCTTTGGAATGTGAAAATCTAAGGAAGATACAAAACATTAAAAGTTACACCTTGCAGCAGTCCGTGGTCCTTAAACACAGCCACACTTCCTGGCAGAGTGCCTCTTCACTGTGTGGTAAACAAGGTTGTCGTCCAGAAACGAAAGGTCATCGTCAAATGCTATTGGCCGACAGCAGGCCTGAGGGGGTGTGTCTCTGGAAGACAGCCTCCTGTTGTGAGCGAGCGTGTAGAGGATTTTGTCATAGTTGGTCTCAGACTTCCTGCAGGGCCCAGAGCAGTACCTGAATATCATTTCTTCACCAGAGCGATAGCCTAGACCCAGGTCCGACACATTGAGGTTAATTTGTTTGAGCACACAGCCCTGTCCCCGCCCTCCTCCTCTGAATCTCCGGCCCATCAACCCATCTCTTGCTCCTCTTCGTCTCCCTCTGTTACCAGTCTCCGGGTTTACCCCGCTCTTTTTCTCCCTTCTGTGATTGCTGATGTTGCTCAAGTTTTCTCTGATGGGGGAGGAGATGATGGAGGACGAGGTAGATGAGGAGACAGTGGACACAGAGGAGCGACGTATCCTGCTGATGGTCACTTTGATGAAGTCCACCATGTCTTCATAGTCAGTGGGGTGAGGCCCCTCTGTGAAATCTGAAACACATTAGGAGGAATGTCACTTCCCTCACACGGTTCACATGCAGATGCACAAATGAAACACACACATTGTTTGTGTTTTGAATGTGAGCGTTCCAAGTGGATCCGATTCTTATTCATCGACTTGCTGCAGCAGCTCATTGGTTTCCTCAGGGCTCATGTCATGACAGTTAAATTGCTCCATCTCTGGATTTACAACAAACTAATTGACAAATCATTTAATACACTGACTATAAGTCATTTTAGGGCAATAATGATAAATTCTAAAGATGATTTATCTGAATGCATCATTTCACTGTCAGTTTAGAGAAAACTAGCATAAAAACTTGAACCAGTTATTAGTGACATCCATTGTGTGCAATGGTCATTGAGAGGCTAACGGTTTTCTTTTAGTTGAAGAGTCATGATCCTAATCATAATAATGAATGAACTCCCAAGACTATGAATTTTAAATTATGAATTTGTTTTATGTGCATTAAGATGCATCAGACATTCAGTCAGAATCTGTGATTGGATCGCCTGTTACTTCAACACTAATCACAAAAACATGAGTGTAAATCAGGTTAATTGTTCAGAATGACTTTTTTTCCCAAAACCTTACTGTTTACAGTTTTTTGAATTAGCGTGGTTACAAAATGAAGTTGTATTATGATTATCTTTGTCCTGTAAACATTCCTACTGTAGAAAAGAACGCTGTACTTAGTCACTGAGTGTGTGACAGCGTGGCCTGGGTCATATATACCATGGGTCATATTCTACTTATTCATCTTGACAGTATAAGAACACCTTTATTTTTCTAGCTCTCATCAACCTTTGCAATATTTCTGTTTTCAACGCACACAGAGTCTATATATAGACTGTGGTGCATTTGAGAAATTACATAGTCAAGACTGAGTAGGATTAATTGAAGCAAACGTATGAGCGTATATATGTTTTTCTGGCACCGGTGCCAAACTGCGGGCGCTTACATGTTTCTCCAGGAGCCAGTCTCTCATCCCAGTCTACAGATTCGACCTCACTTTGACTGAGTCCCCCAGCATGAACCGACATACGATTCTGGACCGGCGGAGGCTCCAGTGGACTCTCGACGACGCGCCCTCTCCTCCTTACGGTGACGGGTCCTTGCGGTGACCGCTGTGCGCCCCGAGGCAGTGGGCTGACGCGCAAGGCGCTGAGCAGAATCAAACAAGTGATCAAACTATCCCATAACTTCATTGTCCACCTCAGTCCGACACAGGGACATGGCGAGATGCAAAACCTATGCTCATCATCTGGTTACGATGAAA